TCGTCCAAGTCACTGATGAAGATGTTGAACAGTGCGGGTCCGAGGACTAAGCCCTGGGGGACCCCACTGCCCACATCACTCCAGGTCAAAAATGACCCGTCCACCACCACCCTCTGGGTGCGGCCCTCCAGCCAGTTAGCGACCCATTTGACTGTGTAGGTGTCGACACCACAGTCCCCTAGTTTTTTAATGAGAATGGGGTGAGAGACAGTGTCGAAGGCCTTCCTGAAGTCCAGAAAGACTATGTCCACTGCTACTCCTGTGTCTAAGGATTTTGTGACCTGGTCATAGAAGGCCACCAGGTTGGTCTGACAGGACCTGCCTCTAATGAACCCATGTTGGTTGCCCCTAAGCATAACCTCCCCTGCTGGCCCCTTGTGGACATGTGCCAGGATAAAATGGTTGCCCAATATCAGTAAAGTTGGGGGGGGGCTAGCCAGGGGGTGGGAGTTCCAGCAGGCTGGAGGCGACCAAGGGTCCACCAGGAGATGCGGGGAGGCGTGACCCACAGGTGGGGTAGGGGGGCAGGCGTGACCGGCAGGTTGGGTAGAGCGGACAGGCATGACCCACAAGGTGTTGGGGGAGCAAATGCAACCTGCAGGTGGAGGGGCTGGCACAACCTATGGGTAGGGTGGGGATGCAGGCACAATCCACAAGAGGAAAGGGGAGCAGGTGTGACCTGTGGGCGAGGTCAGGGGGGCAGGCACGAGCCATGAGGGGTAGGGGGAGCATGCACAACCCACAGGTGGGGTAGGGGGAATAGGCGCAACCTGCAAGTGGGGTTGGGTTCCCCCGCAGAGAACCTACACCCTCCATCCCTCCCCGCACTGGGACTTACTTGCTCAGCTCCGGCATTGGCAAACACTGATAAAAGTGGCTGCACCCGGAGCAGCTTGTGGGATGAGGGTTGACAGTGCAGGCTGCGAAGGCAGAGAAAAAGGGCTGGGGGGAGCAAAAAACAGACCAGTGTGGGGGAAGAGGGGAGTGAAAGGGGCAACCCTAGGGCTGGGGCCAGTCACTGGGTTTTCCCAGCTCCAGGACTTCCAGAGGAAGTGGACAGAAGTTCCATGAACTAGTTTGACCTAAATCAAATGAGTCTGATACTACATAGATCCAGGTTTATCTTAAACTGGGTTCTGCAATTGTTAGACTGGTTTGTGTGCATGGAACTGCTGTTCAGTTACAGGTTTAGACAGACTGCTGGTCACTGATGGCATGTTTCAGAGGTGAGGCGGGGGAAGGGGGGAACGCTTTAATTAGACCAGCTCCAAGAGCCACTCTAATTAAAGTGCCTAGAGCATCTCATGTATCAGTGTCCTCACACTTCAAATTGTCAAAAGAGCTTTAAATAAAGTGCCCTCACTACCATTTTGAAGCACAGGGATGCTGATACACAAGAAGTGGGAGGCTGCTAGAGCACAGTAATTACCACTCTCCAGCAGACTCGACTGAGTCTGCTCTGACATGCTGTAATTACAGGGCATTGGAACAGCCTCCCTGCTTGTGTCTAGGCACCCTGAGACTGGGTCTGTAAGTGTAAGGTTGACACTGGGATGAACTAAATTTAAATCAGCTGGCCATTTTGAACCTGATTTAATCTCCCAAATGTCTGTACTTGGTCCTGGAGAGTATGACTGAGAAAAAAAGTCCCTGGACTGAGAGCTGACTTTACTTATACTGTAAGCCTGATAAAAAGTCAATGGGAGTAGGGCCTTACAGTCTAGATTTAGTACTGTCATCTCTCATTTTCAAACTGGTTTGGCCAGACCTCTGTTACAACTTGTTTATCACTCATTATTGTAAAGTATTTAAGGTAGCAGCTAATAAACCATTTAGAACACTTTGAGAAGCAGCATTTCATGTTTTGGTAACTTCAGATACAAGGTTATCTTTCCAACTGCACATATTTAAATGGTTATGCCTTCAGATCCATGTGTCCAAAATTTGTTCTTCGGGTCTTTTCTCTCTTGCCCTTAGGACCTTACAATGTACACATTATTGAAGTGAATTAGGTAATGCTGTTTTAATGTTACTACTTAAAAGCTGATTATAAAAGCTAACAATGGACCTGATAATTATATGATGCTAGTGATGTTAGTGTACTTAAAAGCTGATTATAAAAGCTAACAACGGACCTGATAATTATATGATGCTAGTGATGTTAGTGTCGACAGCGCTTTAATATATTAGTACCTTTTGTTCCTTTGGCTTTAGGAATTATTGACTTGCCTGCAGGATCCCGGAATGGATTTTTACTGCTTCTTCACCAGGGTTGTCACTTCTTCCATTTGCTGGATCCATAAAGGCACTAAATAGACCAAAAGAAATTTTAGGCTGCAGTCACCAATATGACACGGAGTTCAGATTTACATAAACTCAGATTATACATTTTCACTCTTTTCCCAGGTCCTTTGACAATTAAGGGCTTGGATTAATTAAATTGAACTGCCTACACCCTTACAGGAAGATATGAGGTTTTATTATGAGAAACACCTAAAGAAACAGACTGTGGTGTTGCTCATATGATTTATTGAATGTATATTTGCAAAAGGTAAATATATAGTTAACAGTTTGAGAATCCTTTTGTATATGTCACTGTTCCCAAAGTTCCAGGAAGCACAGATGTTTGTTTGTTTTTAATTTAATTTGTAGCCAAAACTAATTCCAAATCCAAGAGTCCAGAACCATAAGTGGCCCTACTACTGGCAAACATCCACCCACACCTGGGGCTTCAGATTTTTCCAAAACTTTTGGCAGGCATCCCACTTGCAGGCCCAAGCCCAGGAGCTTGGGGTTTGGATGCCCCTCAGTTTTGCTTGACCTTAGCCATAAGGCCCTTGGAGCAAGCAAGGGAGGAGACTTCCATTTCCATAAACTGGGCTTAAAGTCGCTGCACCTTGGTGGGTACTGAACCACATCAGAAGAGCAGTTCAGGAAAACTGCCTTCTTGGACACAGATACATGGCATTTCCCCTGCCAGGTTAAGAAGCCACTGCACTTGATCTGAGCCTTCAAGAGGCCGAGAAGCACGGATACCCTGTAGTGCTTATCTGTGGTTGACTAAGCTCCTATGACTGCAACTGTTTAATGCAGATCTGTGACAGATACCTGGGGCAGCAAGGGTGAGCAAGCAGGGCATGTCCTGGGCACCATCTAAGCAGGGTAGAGAGGGGATGCCTCATCCTCCTGTCTTATGTTCCACTTGCAGAGGGCTGCAAAAAGCAGCTGGTACAGAGCGTGTCCTATCCTGGAACGCGAGGCATTCTGGGAATTGTAGTTTTGTGGAGTGGCAGTAGAGTTTGCTGCTGCTGAGGGGAGACCTAACCCCCATTTTTTGCCACGAACATCCACATTTTTTGCCCTTTCAACATGGGCTTCAGTGCCAAAAAATGGGGTAAAAACCTCATCAGCAACAGCAAACCCCACTGCCACCCTAGAGGGCTACAATTCCCAAAATACCTTGAACAACATTACACACACTGCCAGGGTACTGCTCCTGTGCATGGCCTTGTGCAGAAACCAGGAAAAGGGTGGGAAGGGTGAGCAAGACCTGCCACAGGCACGTGTCTGATCTGGGGAGTCTGTCTGGCTCATCTACTAGACTCTTAGAAATCCTAGTTCAAAAGCCCCTGAATTTAGAATATTTCCACTGACCCTGCCTTGTTAAACCTGATTTTGGATACTTGTGTTGATGATTTTGATCTAGTTGTATTTGACATCTTGTTAGATATGTTTTGTATCTGCTGCTAATGGTAGTTTTTATAGCATGGCACAGCATAGGAAATACAGGTATATTAACATATTCTTAATTAAAACAGCTAACTAAATGTTCTGAAGAGACTCTAGTTATGTTTACAGTTGCATGCAGGCTAGCTGGATTCTCTTTCTGAAACCACCCAAAATTCTTCTTTTTGAAACCTTCCAAAAGACTTCCCAGTCCCTGTATTTAGCTAATATTTTCCATTTATTTCAATCCTGCTTTCCTTTTTTCTTTGTAAACAAACGTAACACGTTTGTTTTTTTAAAGGTATAATGCTTTCTTCATTTTAATTACAATTTCCTACTTCTCCTTTCCTTGCACACACTCAAAACAGATTAAAATCTGGGTTTTTTGGATTAAAAAGTTTGTTTGTTTTTTATTCTCATGCTTTTTTCTTTCTTTTATATAAATGGCATAATTCATTTTCCTTCCTCATAATAATTAGTAGAAGGGACAACTCTTCTTGCTACAAGAGCTGTAATTGATTTTTCCACATACCTTTTTTTTTCTTCTTACATTTCCTTTAATTGCATTCTGTACTCTCTGTTCCCACATCAACCTTTTTGTATAAACAATAGGTAACTCAATTCTAGTAACAATTTTAGTAACAACATAAATTATCCAGTTTTGTCTCATTTCCACTCTGGCCGCAGAATGAAGATGCTAAAATCCATAAACCAACTGAGCTCTCACTTTCTAACAAGTGAAGAAACATACTTTATGGTACCACCAGTTATGAATTACACTAAATGTCATGCCACAAACATACCAGTTTCAGATGTCTGTAATTTACTCCTGAAAATACAAATAGGCTGTAAAATGAGGATCGTTTCTAGGTGGAAATTTTACATATATTCAATCTGGGAGGGTGTTACGTAGTCAGTGGTTTATGTTTGCTCTCCTTAGACAAAAGGCTCCGTGTCACAAAGAAACCAGGTTTTACAGGCATTGATATTTTTCATTGTCTTGAAAATTATTTAAAGCTTCTGTCCAAGGTGCTTTGTATCATTTATTTAATTAAGAAATCTCACTATAGGTAAGTTCTCGAGTCTTACAGTTACAGGAACCTACTATCGCAGAATGTAACAGTAGCACAATGAGTTTCCTATTCACTATAAAAATCCATGAATAAAAAGATCATGCATAAGAGATGGAAAGTGATAATTAAGTATCAGACATCCAAGAACTAAGCTTGAGTGTGATAAACATAAACACAACCACAGTTACTTTTTTCAATCAGTTTAATGTTACTTTAATATTATAATAAAATAAAAAGTGTTTTTACAGTACAGTGTCAACTCTTATGGTCCAAATGAAAACATAATTTGAAGACAACCGACAGGTGCCACATAAATCTTAAAAGAAATTCCTATAATTACAGATTTCCTTCATACAAAGGAAGCAAAGACAACAGAGGATTTTGTGGAGGGCAATAAATAAGGCAAAGGAGTGAGTGGGAAAGAATCTTGCAAAACATTTCAGGGATTAATTCACAACAAATTAATGCGACAAAACTGTCTGTGAATTTTCAACAAAATATATCTGAAAAAGGAATATGATTTGGGCTTGTAAAGCCAAATTTCCTGTTAATCACATGAGTTGAAATCCAAGATTAAGTAACACCATACCACAGTTTGGCTCTCCACACACATAGTTGGCTTAAAGGGAAGGCTATAGCTTGGCTCAATTAGTTTCTCTTGACAGAAGGCTCCTTCTATGATGTGTTTGTTACTTTATTTAATGGACTCTGGTTGTAATGTAAACAAATACTGCAAGTTTTAAACTGGACACAATAAAATTTTCTTTAAAATGACTATATTAAACATTTTTCCTTTGCTTAACCCAATACAGCAAACCTCCCAGGGGAAAAGCTGAGGAAACCATTTCTTCCACAGCCAAAGGGAATGTCATTTGCTTTGGTCAGTGCCTCTGCGTTGATAACCAACAAGTACATAATTCAATCTCCATGCAGAGACATCTTTGAGCAAGGCAATGATGAGTGAATTATCAGCAATTCATCACAGATTGATTTAAGGCACACAAATATTAGTATTATACTTCATTATAGCAAAAATTGTATCAATAGTGATAAGGAAAATATCAGTCAATTTTAAAATAGAGTAGTTGGTTGAATGAAAGTTTGTTTTTTTTAAAGGGGGAGGGTGTATTTAATTGTTTTAAGGCTATCTGATAAATAAGACAATTTTTATCATCTTTACAGAGTTGAATTTCTCTCTCACACAATAGGACTTATTCAAATGAATTCTGTTTTAAACAGAAGAGCAATTCACCAAAATGGGGAAGAAGGGCAGCTTATAACCTAAAATAGTTTACTTGGGAATCTACACATATTTTGTACTTTAAAAAGCACAATCAAGAACACTGCATTTTGCTTCACAATCTGGAGCTGTATTTACAATTAACGTATAAAGAACATTAGATTTTCCCTTGTTATTTTCAGTGGTCAGTATTTTACAGTTTAAATTAAACTATTACCTTAGTTTTGTGATATATTTTACAGTACATATTGGGCTATTTTCACACTTCACATTTATTTATATTTCCTGTTTTCTGCAACGAGTGCAGTAAAATTCAAATATTTGGTACTTTTAGAGCAAAATATTGCCAAATGAACTAATAAACCAAAAACTACAAGGAGTACAGAACATAATGGAATTTTGTCCTTGGTAACAGGCCAAAAAACATATTTAATGTGATCTCTACTCTCTAAAGTGGCTACCTAAGCAACACTGTGTCATGCTCAAGGTCTCAATCATTTTCAAAGATCTCAAAGACTTGGGCCCAAAATACCTAAAAAAGTTTTCTAAAGCTCTGGGGGGAGGAGTGGAGTTAGAATCATAGAAAATGAGGGTTAGAAGGGACCTCAGGAGGTCATCTAGTCTAACCCCCAGCTCAAAGCAGGACCATCCCCAACTATTTCATCCCAGCCAAGGCTTTGTCTACCTCGGATTTAAAAACCTCTACGGAAGGAACTGTTGATGCAGTTAACAACTCTGGTCTCCTGCATCTCTTCTGGAGATGGAACTTTCTTGGAACTGGTTCAAGAATGTGGAATGAATCCCAACAGGATCTAAGCACCACCAGAAACTCACCCCTTTTTGTTCTCAGTGCAAGAATTGCTTGCAGCTAGCTCTTCAAGCCGGCTCTTGCTAATACAAGTGAATAACAGTGCTTATATAAAATGTCATGCGATTTTTAAAGAAAGCCACCAGTAACAGATGCCAGTTACTTTGCTTAATTCGCTTCTGACAGTGGCTCATCACCTGGCATGATGAGGGACAGTATAAGAACAAACAGAATAGAATAAAACAAAAACTTTTTATATCAGCCTTGAATTGCTGTTGTAATTTATGTAGGTAAAGGTCCAGCACTGAAGACAAATGTTTTATAAATACTGTTCTTAAAATGACTACATTTAGACTGAATGACACCTTTGCTACAAAGACTGAATAGAAACCCAGACTTTTTAACGGTACTGCTCCTTGAAGGAAAATTGGCAGGAACATGTTTCGCACAAAAATGTTATAATTCCACCCAAAATGTAATTTTCTCTAAAACTCTATTTCCTTTACTGTTTTGGTAGAAAGCCTGTTTTACTTCTGTGCATTATATTCAGACCGTTATCATAAATGTACAAATATCTGTACTGAGAAGCAAGAGCAGAAAGCTTCTATATAGATTTACTCATTCAAGTTTTCATTACTTATGCATAGATTTTAATTACTGGTATTTGGTAGTCTGTAACATTAAACAAACTTTAAGAGGAGAAAACAAATAGATGCTTAGTTTCCAGTGAGTTACAGCTTTTTGTTTATTAATGTTTGTAGTAGTAGGGCGTCTATCTAATTCCTCCCCTAAAGGATCATCTAACTAAAATAGTTGGGAGTGTTGGTTTCTGCACAGCATTTACTGGCAGTAAATGGGAAAGAACTTAACTCTTTCAAAATAAGTTTAATCTTTTCAGGCCTTTCTGCACCTTCACATTTTCTTTCTAAGCAAGGCACTCACTTCACAAGCTCATAGGTCAAAATTATTCTCTTATGCCCAAATACTATATATAACAATCAAGTAAGGCTCAGTCTTTTATTTCTGAGAGAAAGTGAGAGGAAATTGACACTTCAGAATAAGGGGCAACCTTCACAGCAGCAATGAACTCAAGATTTCCTGAGCACAGTGAGCTAGCAGCTGCAAAGTGGAACTTTTAGAATGCCCTAAAATGTACAAAATATGAAAAATGTGCCTTTACTCATTATGTACTTTGTTACTATTATTCCAAACAAATCCAACTTTACAACTACTCTTTCACAAAGGTAACATCTTGTGCCAAATTTTCAGGTGCTGTAAGTTGATATCACTCTAGTTGAAATCAGTTTTACAGAAGTTTAGAACCTGGCTCCTTGTTCCTATGCGATTAACTGAAAGCTGTTGGTTTATATAAATATTTCTCAGGTTATATAAATATTTCTCAGGTTTGTTTTCAGTTGCAAGGCAACTGAAAACAAATCAGCTTGAGGGATTTCCTGTAAGATTTTTCTAAAAGGAAGGTTCATTTCGAATAGCTTATGGTATAAGGATACCTAACATGTTCGTGAGTTCTTGTTTAAGGGGGCTGAGGTGGTGCACAGTTGACAGCCCAGAAGTTGCAAGTTTGAGGACATCACAGCAGAAGCACTCATGCCGTGGCCCTATCAGATTCCAACAAAATATGTGAATTCTGCTAAATATACTGTTACAAGGAAAGGGAAGGTTCAGTTTAAAAAGATATTTTTTTTTACCTGGGCAAAGTAATTACACATCAGTAATGTGAGGAGCTGTAGCTAAAGATGGTAATATGATCATTGTAGCTACAGTAGCAAACACAGTGGTAAACTCTTAATACAGTAGTGCATTTCCCATTTTCATTTTATTATGACTTTACTAAAACATTTTTAAAGCTCATATTTTATTGTAGCAAACAGATTTAATTTCAAACAAAATCTGCTTAAAAATTAGGTAAAATCCTTTAATGAAAAAAACTAACATTCCAAAAATTTATTCGTATACAAATGAACACTTTTGTAATCACTTAATACTCTTAAATACATCTCTCTCTCTTTTCTAAACACAACTGTTAGCCAGGATTTGTTTGGGAACTGAAAAGTTGGGTAACTAGACTAGACTAGAGCAGAACTTAGAATAAATATTGTAATAATCAGTGGTTATCGTCCAAACTTAACAGTGTTTTCAGATAATCAGTAGTACATCTTGAAATACAAGCTGCATTATTATTTTAATTAGCTGAACACAACAAAGTTTGATTCAAATAAAGCAAATAAACAAGGTTAAAAACCTGGCAATTGGACATTCCTTAGAATTGAATTTTTATGAACATAACATTTTGAGAGTGCTTTACGTCTTGAAAGTGCTGTACAAATGTCATCCAATTCTAGAAAGAAAGTGGAATGCTGAAAAAGCATAATTTCAAAAGTGGAGGATGACCAGAGGAAGAGCACTATAATACTGCAGTGTAGAACCAGAAGAAACAAAATGTAGTTATTTAAGAATGATCAATCATTTTAGAAATTATGAAGGAACCAGCAGGAAGATTACCAATTTTATGAAGAGGATGCCTGGATATCACTACCATTCGTACATTAGCTTTTTCTGCAACTACAACATATCCATACTGGATCTGTAGCTTCAGGCTGCCTAACCTCGAAGTCGTGAAGAATGTGCAGGGATCCATTTTAATAATACATACACCTCACTGTGAGCGCCCATGGACCATCATTCTTAGACATCAATGTGAATTCCATGTTTTATAGACATCAGCTCTCTGGTACCTGTTAAATACATAATAAATGAACACAGATGTGGTAGAGATGCAGTAATTGCTACATACAGCCAGTATGGCAAGGGAGCAGTTTTTCCAAATGGACAGATCCACAGGCCGTGACGAATTCCATCACGAACATGGTGAGAAGTCCAGGATATAAACAGCATCCAAGGAAGAAAGCACCATGAGTCCTTGAGCCTGAAAAGGTGCATAATAAACTTTAACGTCAGAGCCATGACAGGAATCACAGTAGAACAATGAAGAATTGGTCTTCGTGGAAGGGTCAATGCAGCCTGCAGAAAAGAAAGATACAATTGGCAATGGACAAAATGCTTTATAAATGTTCTTTCAAGTGAAAATAAGCCATTTGTTTTCAACAGAAATACAAAGAAAAATGTTTTTATCATCTCTGTTCAGATCTCTCAAAATATTAACCACCTGTTCAGATGCATATGCTGCCCCAATGTAATATGGAGAATAGAATATGGAGTAGAAGACAAGTGAAGGGAAATAACTGCATTGTACTGTTTTCAAGCTAAACACAGAAGGCATCTCATATTAAACTCAATTTACTATGCTGGAATGTATCAATAGTAGATATTTGATCACAGAAACTATTTCTAACTCAGGACAACAAGAAGAATTAAGAACCCACACTCATTTTGACTGTTCTCAGATTGGTATTCCTAGTTTGTGAACAGAAAACCCACTCAAATGCTAAAAAATTTTAAACACAATTAAAAGGCAACATGAAGGTTTCTTAGATTAGTTCTTGGCTATAAGTATCATATTCAACTTCCTTGATGCTAACTTAATTTGATAATAACTATGTTTTGATTTCTCTTGAAGATAGGAAGAGATGTTAATCAAGGGAAGACTGAATTAAATGTTTATCACAAGAAATGACTAGCAACACAACAGTCACTTGATCCATCAAGTTATTGTACCATATACACCGCGGAAAACATTCTGAGTGCACAAGTTGGAAATACTCAGCACTGTCTCCAGACAGCGCTCTTAAGCAGACTAGCATTTTTCAACAAATATACTGAAAGGGACAGAAATCAGTCCCAAAACAACCTGTTGATCTATGCTCATCAAGAAATAAATATGTACATCTGAACTCTGACTAGTTGTAACCTGAATTTAGGTAATATTATTATTATTTATTAAAAAAACCCCAAAAAGTCAGCCAGGAAGTTTTTACTCTAATTGGTTAATGTATGCCTTGTATATCTCCTCAAGACTCCTGATGATGATACTGAAGCAAGCAAAGAAGCTGCTGCTTTACATATTGCTCACTTTGTGCTCAAACAGAATGCTTGGAGCTCATAAGTGCTTTTTCACTCCATGTAGGCTGAACATAATGAATAAAACTGATAGTTACAGGCACTTCATTAGAGACTTGGTACTTTGATTTTGGGAGCTCTCAGTAGGGCCGTGCAAAATTTTGCTAGCGGTTTGTTTCGACGCTGTTTCAACTCGTTTTGAGCTTGAAACAGCGAAACTGAAATGAAACAGAGACCTTCGAAACAGCCTCGAAACGAAACGAGGCAAGCTGAAACATCTCAAAATTTTCTAAACGTTTCCAGTTTTGAAGCTCAAGCTGGGCTTTCCTGCAGGGAACCAGAAACTAAAGTAAGGAGAGGGAGGAGGAAGAGGGGGGAAGGAGTGCTCTCATTACTGACTGTGTAGCTGGCCAGTGACTGTCATCCTTTCCAAAGGTCCCTTCCAATCCCAGTGCTCTGGGGGAGGGATGGAAATTGCATAAAAGGCAGCACTATTTGAACTGCCCTGCTCTCTGCCTCGGTGTCAATTGAATGAGGGCGCACCTTAACACACACACTGTCACCCACACGTCATGAGTTTTGCCTGTCAGCAGCTAGAGGTGCAGGGCCCCAGAACCCAGATTCCCCCTGCACCTATCTCCTTGACAGCTAGCAGGCTTCGTGGCTGCAGCAGGGCCTAGCAGGCCTGCAGTTTTCACCCCTGTGCCCCAAGACAGACACAGTCCCACAACCGCCCACGTCACAAGTTTTGCCCGTCAGCAGCCAGAGGTGCAGGGGCCCAGAACTCAGAAGCCATGCACCTATCTCCTTGAAAGCTGGCAGGTTTCGTGTCCTCAGCAGGGGCTAGCCAGCCTGCAGCTTTCACCCTGCTGCACCTTAATACACAGTGTCAACCATGTCACAAGTTTTGCTTGTCTGCAGCTTGAGGTACAGGTTTCCCCCTCTCCTGCCCCTATCTCCTTGAAACTTGGCAGGCTTTGGGGCCTCAGCAGGGACTAGCAAGCCTACAGTTTTGGCCCTGCTGTGGCTTAACACATACACGTGACATGAGTTTTTTGCTTTCAAGACTCTGAGGTGCAGTTTCCCTGAAACCCCTATACCTATCTTCTTGAAACCTGGCAGACTTCCTGTCTTCAGAAGGGGCTACCATTCCTGCAAGTCTCCTCCAGATCAGCCCAGAAATGACAAAGTTATAGGCTGTTTTGAGCTTCGCCATTATAGCCTACGGGCGAAACGTTGAAACAGCAAAACTGTTTTGACGAAACAAAACAGAACAGTTTCAAACAGAAACGAAAGTCGAAACAAAACGCTGTTTTGTTGAAACGTTGAAACGCAAGTCGAAACAGAATGGTGCTGTTTTGCACAGCCCTAACTCTCAGGTCTATTGATTTTGAAGAGCAGTTATAAGACTTAAAAGCCCCAAAAGGCCCGGAGAAGCACTGAACACATTTAAACAAAAAACCTCAAGGCATGACCCACTTCTAGAGCAGAAATTTTAGAGTCCTTTTTTTTCTCCATCTTTTCATTTACCTTTCTGCCATTCAAAAGTTAGAATTTTCTCCTCTTACATTAAGATGGTGCTAGCAAGGTTTCAAATATCTTGCCCATCAATCCACATGAAGATAACTGCTTAGCAAAAAAAGAGATCAATTAGCTGGTTATTTCTCTGAGGTGGCAGAGAAGGAGACAGATCAGAAATAGACTCCAACATCTGAATGAATTGGCATGACCTACATTTAAAAACCATCATTTTAAACCTAATTTATATTTGTACTTTTAGTTATTTTCCTACAGAACAGCTGATTCTCATTGGATTTGTTTAATTTGTTACTTTGCTGAACAGGATGCAGAAGTTATTTATTTAAGGCATTCTATAGCTCAGAATACATGTATTCAGCTTGTTACTTTGATGTGAGAAAATGGTGAGATATTTCTTATTTATTAAATGATGTTATTTTTATATGAAATCTGTGTCTATCTGAATGGAAAAAATAATAATGTGAGGAAACAGGATTTACATTTTTTCTGTAAATACAACTGCCTTAAACACGATGGATATTTAAGATGAAAAAGGTTATCAAAATATATTTATTAAACAAAGGGACTATTACCTGTATTTAGTGAAATTACTAGTTGTTTCTGCTCAACCTTCTACACATCTCTATACAGAGAAAAACAAACATTTCTACTTTTTCAGTACCTAATAGGTTTCTGAACCTGAAAAACAGGTTCAGATGTACTTCTTAGATACACCAGAATGGGGAAATCTTCTCTTTACACCTAAAGAAGAGACTATGGCTACTAAAAATCAAGGTGGTTTCTAGACAAATTCTGATGCTAGGTGCTGAATGAGACAAGGTTCTTTGGGTAGATGTGATACTTTTTATTAGACCAACTAAATAGTTGGAAAAATTGTTCTTTGCAAGCTTTCAGGCACAAACACCCTTCTCTTCAGGCATAGGGAGAGCCTGCTGGTGTTGTGCACTCTCCATGGTCAAATAGAAGCCAATATGCAAAATTCAGGTCTGTGAAAATGCAAATGCATGGCAGCGAGGATCAGAAGGAATGGGCAACAATAGGCAAGACAGGTAGGTGGTGGGGGGAAGGGGAATGTTGAACTGTTGATATAATGTAGCTGACAAAATGCAGACAGGTTACCTGGGGAGTCAGAGGTTAGGCAGGTTATAATATACCATAAATCCAATGTCTATATTTAATCCATTATTTTTGTATCCAGTAGATTTATGAAGTGAAATTTGTAGGCGATCACCTGCAAACCTAATAACCGCCTGGGCCCTGCTGGTGTGTCACCATGGTGAAGTGCCCCCTGCCTACCTGGCAGCAGCAGGGGTGGTGGCATGGAGTTGTGCCCCTTGCTGCTGCCAGGGGAGCAGGGGGAGCTTTGCCATAGCAGCGTGGAGCTCCCAGTGGCAGCAATGAGCTTCCCCACCCAGCATCACTCTGCCCTGCTGTGCTGGGTCTTGCCAGGGAGAGGGCAGGAAGGCAGAGCCCACAACAGGCAGTCCACATCTGCTCCACCCCCCCCAAACAACAGGCTCCGCTCCGGCTGTGTCTCCCATAGGGAAGGAGAAGCCAAGCTCCGTGTTCTGCCGCAGCAGCTGCTGCCTTCCATGGGCAGCAACCAGGGTTCGGGTGCTGCTGTGGAGGGCACGGATGGGGCTGTGGACCCAGGTCCCTGGCTCCATAACTCTGGCAGCTGGGGGCCCCCTCCAGCAGGGCTGGGGGTGGCAATGGGCTGTGGATAGGGAGTGAGGGGTACCAGCAGGGCTGGCGGGCTGTGGTTCAGGAGTGAGGGGCAACGGCATCAACAGGACTGCTCAGTGCCACAAAGCGGGGGCCAGCCACAGCTAGACCCGCATCCTGATGAGCTAAGGCGGCAGGGGAAGCTCTGGTTTTCTATGATAAAAAGCCCAAAAATCAAATGCCAAAATTGACAGGTATTTTGAATTTATTTTATCTTAGCAATTGAGACACTGGTAGGCTTCCAAATGGCTTTAAAATCGTAAATATACCAAAAAAAATTGTGTTCAACTGATACATATTCACATACACACACACACATATATACAAACACACACACACACACACACACACACACACACACACACACAGACATTTCATTTTAATCAAGGAAAAACAGATTTTTGGGTTTTTAATCAGAGAATTTGTGAGGGGTTTTTGTTTAAATCAGAGAATCTGCAATTTTTAAACAGAGAAAACCAGGATCCGTGTTCATGACCTTCTCCAGAGTGATCAGAACAGCCTGAAGTAACACCATCTCTGGCAGTAGTACCAGGACCTCCTGACAGGCTGTTAATTGGTCTGAGGAGCAGAACCAAATTCTGATGAAGGAGTACAGTAAACACGACAACTGCAGTCAGGCTCATTAGAACAGACACATAAGTAGCTGCTTGCCCAGCTAGACATTCACTGGACTGACATTCAGTGCTATTAGCACATAAACATACGGGGCACTTTCACAG